TCTGGTGATATTAGAGCACTCCGTGAGTAGGATCCTTTTATTAATCGATATCGGCTTCATAATTTTCGAGCCTGGGCACGGTAGTGAGAAAATGCACATGAACATGGGGATGAAAGTCTGCTTCTGTTCATTAGGATGGGCTGCGGTGCATAACCTAAGCCTCATGATTAGCGGCACGCATGGATGATGGTCTGGCATCTACTATTAACAGCCAAGAAAAGCGAGAATGCCCAGGGTTGCCATGATGAGGAACTATCATTGACCATGTTTTCCAGTAATTCCTGCGTTCTTGCTGATGTCACGTTTCTTTTAGGCAAATACAGGTTACATGAATATCCTAGACGCTGAGAGAGCTTTCCATATAAAAGTAACGTATCGAGGTTCCCGCAAACAATTGATCTAAACAATTAATCTGGCTAGGAGTTTAATTGTGTAATACATAGGATACATGTGATTACATAGAAATCGGCGGTCATTGATAACCCAGAGTGACAGCCCAATCAAAATCAATCGAGAGTTTCAGTCGAATGACTTCGCAATGCAATAGTTCCAGCAAACTCGAATTCCGTTTTTTTCTGGTGAAAAGACGCGCGTGATGGTTTGCAATAACTTGATTCAGATGCTGAGGAAGTGCTGAACATCCCGCCTGAGAATCCACTCCCACTATCGTACAACGTATGTAGGGATGGTGAGCCACACACTGCGTTCAACTTGACTCCCTTCAGCAAGAAAATCTAGTTAATAGCTGCAGATTGACACACAGTCGATATGCACAACCTCATTGCTACTGACTAATGATCAATAAGCCCTCATCGACTTGGAGTACGCACGATGACTTGAGTGGAATAAGAAAAATTTTATACGCAGGTTCACGCGGCACTGTTTAAAACTACCACAAGATGGAGTAGGAAGGTTTCGATCACAATTGCGTCTGTAACTCACCGAATCGAATGATCTCCGACAACCTTCCTGAAGATTTGATCTGATTGACATCGGTGGGCGTATCTGTCCACCACATCGTCGGGCAATCTGACCCCAGGATCACCCTACTATATTCACATATCCTTACGTACTTAATTATATATGAGCTATTGATGCGATAGTATGAGCTTGGAATGTCGGTGGGAATTTCTTCCCGCAAGTAAAATGAATTGACGGCAAATTTCAAGAACGCCTGTGCGGCTGTTCCATCCTTGTTGAGAATTAGCGGCAGTGCGGAACTCGAAAACCTCCAACGAGATTGCAACTTGCGAATTCCTAGCTAGTTTTTGAACAATAAACCACTTGGCTATAAGCGATTCAGCAGCCCTGTGAATTACTTGCACACGGAGACGATATTCTATCATGTAATTCCCAATGCATTCAGATCAAGCCTGACCCTCAGTGTTCCTTATTTCAGACACAAGTTTGAGAGAGCGTGAAAATTCCCTCGTGCCTCTTTGTCACCAGCTACAAGGGGCAGGCTGGTACATCTGTTTTTACCGCTGGAAGATTAACGAATCGGTCGAATGACGTAACAGTGTTGTGCCACCAGATGGATTCGCATGCCATTTATGCCGTCTATAGACAGGCTGCTACAGACGCCGCTGGCAAATTTTTCGATTTGTGGAAACGTGCGGCGACCGACGGGGTAATCAACCATCATAAAAAGAGTCTTTTGAATTTAGTCCAGTAGACTGTGCACACTGGCTACTCTGTTTACTTGTCGACACGGTTTGCTATCTTTTCAGTTTTTTTCCACATTTAGTTCGTACAACTCTTACAACGGACACCAAGCGCTGTTATTTTTCTCAATTCACCGCCACCTGCTTAGTCGGATGCCCGGGAAAATGCGTCATTATCAATATATTCAATCATTTATGAGAGTGTCCTACAGTTTGGATCACAATCGCCAAATAAGCTGGCATCCTTTTGGCAAGGTGCTCCGTCAACCGCTGCCTGAAACAAATAAGTACAGTGATTGGCTGAAGTTTCGGCCTCCATCATCCGAGGGGCGATAGTACGATGTAGATGAATTCGCGCTGGTGCTGGGCGACCAAAATGTCGAAAACTACTGCTTCAACAGTCACCGTGAATTATGATCTGGCCGACGCTTACGTTCTTTCCACCCATGAAGAAGGCATATGGTCGGAATTCCCGAACTCCTCGGGTGTACCTGTTTAGTGCTGGTTGAATACGACGTAAGCCGTTTTAGCCACGTATCCTATTACAACACACAAAGAACAGCTCTATTTTGCACGTCTAAGACACGTTGACGCTTCGGACGGCACAAATCGTGTTAGATGAGGTATTGGTAGCAACTGAGTTTCACTGCATATGTCGCACATGCATGCTGCCATACCACTGAAGCATTTGCTGCTCGGAAATACATTCCACGCGTTCGACGGACTGCAACCAGATCAACTGAAGTAAACGCCAGGCAAATTTCTGGATACACTTATGAAGATGCCCGCGGTCTTGGGAATCTTGATTCCCGACCCGGAAACAAAAACGCTCTTGCCCCTGTCTGGTATAAATCATTCGTATGTTTCAGCTTTGCAGGCGCATATCAATTCCCTGATGAATCTACGCATCGTTTATAGCACTAGAATGTTCCAGCAGCTTTGTCATAAGAGCACATGAGATTTGACCTGTTGCTGCTCGAAATGCTTCACCAAACCGACTGACTCCTGACAAAAAACTGTGGATTTCCCCAATTTGTAGAATCGAGTTTCGACTTTGCCTTGACAACACACTTCAGTTAATCTAAAGCTGTACAAGTGGAACTGAACAAGCGTCACGTGGAACTGGCTGAGTGCCTCAAAGGCCGGCCAATATGGAACGAACTATTTTTGTTGAAACGCCCCTCTGAGTCACACTCACACAGAAGTTATCTTGCTCACTTGCATACACGCGTCCATATTTCAACAAAACCCCGGGGTTTTCACCACGGGCACATGCGGCAGGTGACCGATTCTGGTGGTTTCTTTCACCACGCGGATAACTATCCATATTTATTATCAGCACTGAAGACTTCTTGAAGTTTAGTCGAGTAACTAAATGGCTGCAGAAGCAGAGTTAATTTTCAGCTGATTGTGTACTTACTTTTCACTTTGAATGTTTGAGCATCTGAGTACGTCATCACGACTCTAGGAAACTCGAGGAACATCAGAGGGTGCGCCAAATCGGCAGTAGAATCAGCTAGTGGGGAATAATTTAAGGAACACTTCACAGAGCGTCTTCTGAAATGACCCACCGTTCCAGTGTTCCGAAATCAATAAGAATGCGATAAATTTTTTTCTCCCATTTTCAGCTTTAGATGGCTGATGACCACTTAATATAATGAGCGTGACATCCATATCACGTGCTTCGACACTTAGTCATCAATCACGAAATGGGTATACATTTTGGGGCCATTCATATTGGCGCACGTAAGTGAGATGTGAGTGGTGATCCCTACACCTGCTACATGCACGCGGAAACGAGCAGCGACATCAGTGCGAATCTGACCACAGTCCCCAGTTTTTGCCCTCCAAATCCTCATGCCTTTTCGGATTGCAAGGAATGCGTAGCAATTTTCGTCCCAGTCGATTGACAAAGCATACGCTAACTGGATTGGTGTATGTAGTAGCTGCTTCGGTGTGTCGGAGAGGTTTCGCGTGTGCGTGTCTGTTTGTCGTTCCACCATCGATCTGGAATGTAAAGTGGGTGGCTGATTGGATCCGTGTCCGATTGATTTGCTCACGTGACTTGGTTGACTGGATTGTGACCCAGTTGTTTGCTTACCTGCCACAAAAGCGGGCCAGTTGGACCGCGTGTACACGATACACCCGTGTCCTTACTTTCGTGTTCTTCTGACTTACTGGGAAGTAAAATACCGTAGGACTCAGTCGACCAGTCATCTTTGTTATGGATTCTCACAACAGAAAACATTGAAACCCATCTATTCAAGCCGTCGTGCACCTCAATGTTCCAGCTCTGTCGTGGACTATTGGTAATGATTAGGAAGCCCTTGATATTGCGATATTTACCCTGTTTGACTTTCCGTTGGTCGCCGAATGGTGGGAGAAATCTTCTGATGGATAAATAATGTGTTGCCGTCCAACTACGGGGAATGGAGCAAACGCAGTGAGGCCGTCATATTCAGGTATCTGCAACACAAACTAAATTAAAATTTATTTTGTGACTACAGCGCGGTAGGTATTCTTGTAAACGAGGGGAACGAGCCAAAATAAATTGGCTGTACGGCTGAAATGCAACTGGCATGGCATTGTCTGGTAGCCCATTGTGCATTGGCTAATGGGAAGAAACTAGACATTAATGCCGGTAATTGAGTGAAACCAGCCGGAAGGAGTTAGTAACTAACCTGAAAGTTTGGACCATATTGCGAACCAAAGTGCTGGTTTGCATCGGAAACCAAACTCTCGGCATTCACGAGAAAATTGGATCGTTCATTTTGTCATCTCTAAACTAAGAACTGCTCTTGATTTGGGGTAGCTACGAGGAATATGACTTCCCTAATATTGTTTTTTTTTCAAACAAATTAGCAATCTGACGGTGCGGACACCTTTTCCATAAGCGATTAAAAATGATAAACCGTGGATTGAAAGTCTCCTAATGACAACTATTTCAAGACTTGTTTGCTGAATGTCTGTTTTAATCTAGCGAACCGTTTCGATTGCAGCCTCGGAAATTACCCGGCATGCTGAAAATCGCCCCCTTCCGCTCAATGAAAAAATAACGGGAGACGTTGCTAAACAAAACTTCAGCCGCCAAGTGATCGATTCGTAAGCGGACAACCTTTATTGATAAATTTGTTCTGAAATTAACCCTGACGTTGCTGGTGTCGGCGTAATCAGAAGTCCCAAGTGCAACAGCAACATCTGCGGTTTCATGTAGAGGTAGACTTGGAATAGTGGAGAAACCCGGAGCAATAGATCGCGATTGGTTTGGCTTTCCAAGTTTGCATTTCACATTTTTGTGTTAAGAGGTAAACAAAGTGCAAGCAATATCGCCGAATACAACGACGAACTATAGTGCTTCTTTCTAGTGTTTCATCGCCACAGCTCAAAACGCAGGCGCCTTAGACATGTTTGGCACAAAATGGACAAGGTGGCCTAAAACATGAAGGCGAATCTGAAATTCGAAAATTCCTCATTTAGCAGCAAGCTTTCATCCATGCATTGCAAATACCATGAATTGAAGGACTTCGCTCCCGGTCGTTATCACTCAGGCGCACTGCTCGCCTGGCCAAATGAGAACAACGCACCGGCATTTCAGTAGCTTCAGCCGAAAAAAGGCAAACCTAATGGTGGAAAACTCGGTAAGCCCGACTAAATCCTGGCACGGTTTAAAAATCACTTCCTACCACTGTTCACCTGGCCATGATATGTTGATATGAATTACACAGCCTGCATCATACGGACAGCGACGGATTACATCATTTGGTTCAGTATCCCGTCTTGGCTACCTACATTCTGCCGAGTCGCCATGGGATGATGTTGTGCACCAATGTCTGATACTTTCACACCACACGTTTCACAGTACCGACAACCAAGAAGAAAATCAACGCACCAGTCACGAACGCCAGCACCACAGTTCATTCACCTATTTGAGAAACATTCTCGGTCAATCACTATTTGGACATGGAATTTTGCTAAACTAAATCCAACAGGGCGAATGCTAGAACTGTTCACCAAGGCCAGTTATCCATCAATGAGTGAGCGCTGTTGTTGTTGAGTATCACCGGTTTCGACTCGATGCGTCGAAATAATGGGAAAACTAGTCAGTTATTCTAGAGAACCTGGCTTCACACTACAGGCGTCGAAGACACTGAATAGTGCAACTCCAAAAAGCATGCTTCTGCTTTATTTGGCAAATCCTACTGAGGTGAACTGCAAGAACTACGAAGTCATCAGCCCTTCACTGACTGAATATTGTAGGGAAGATTTGAATGGATGCTGAAGATCCCAGCGAAACGGACGCCAGCTGCATCTGTTGGATACCGAGCGATCGGAAACGTGATTCGCTTGTGGAAGCATTCGAAAGCTAAAGTGATACAACACTCAGCAACTAACGCTTTCATTAATCTTACGGCATTCTTTAGGTTGACTGACTAAAAAATGTACGAGCCCAGAGTCGATCGCTGTACAGGTCGAAAGCTTGCATGAATTCTGAGGAACTGGACTTGCTTCATGACCGGAGACGAATTCCAATAAACTGTCCGAAAACATCAAATGGAAGTGGAAACGTAATCAGGATCTATTTCATTCAGCCTTCGAGACATGTTACTTTCGTCCGATGAGGGTAGACCCAAAATAAACAAACAGTATTCCGATCAAATTAGAGAAATCCAATAAAATGAGCAGATAATTGTGTTATGTGACCGGTATTTTTTCAGTTAATTGAAAATCATGTTTCTTGAGTTCTGTGCCTAGGAGTCGCGTCGTTTGCTGTCGCGCCGTGCACACTTTCAGCAAGTCTATTTAAAACATCCCACCTGCAGCACCGTTTCCAACATTGCTCGCAAATGTGATCGATTTGCTTTCCGTGCACGGTTTTCAGGTGCCGATCAATATTTCACTTTCGGCAGAATGGTGCCCCAGACTCCTCGCACTTTGACGAGTTTCCTCTCGGCGAACCGATCGCCGATGATGGAACAGATTCCTCCAACTTGAAAAGCACTTTCCTGATTAACGACATGAATACCCGCATTCCTTTGATTCCCACAGTCGTTTACTGGATGCTCTGACGGGATTGTGGCGTCCACTGGTGTTTTTTCTCTGAATATGTCGCTTAAGCCTACGCTCATTTGCGAATGATTTTTCGCACATACTACAATAAAAATCGGCGTTTCAGCATGTACCTCCTGGTGTTTGATTGCCGCCAACAGGTTAGTGAGGTGCTTCACCGTTTTGTCGTTTCTTTAGTTCGTTTGGTTGAACAAAAGTTGGACAGCAAACTTCGCTTCTGTCAGCTGATTTATCGAGTTTAAGAATGCTGTTTGTAATTTAAAAGCGTGAAGTGTTAGTTATCAGCGTAACTAAATCCTTCTTCTGGCCTATAATTACTCTGAAGGCAACGTTAATGAAATGAACGTATGTTCCTAGCTGTACACAAATTCAAGAGGTCACTTCACCCTTCATGTTTTAACTAGGCCTGACTCGTGCAGAAACTCTGGGATAATGCACAGTCAACAACTCAGGCATTCGCCTAACCAGCGACCGAAACTCAAGATCAGCCAGAAAACGAATATCTTGCTTCATCTGGCACACAACAGGTCAAGAAGCATTGAATTCCACCCAAAATATTAAGAGACTGGAACCGTGAAAGTGATCTGAAATCTGACAATCGCCGAACAGGTGTTTCACTCTCCTCTTATATTGAACTACAAACCGTTCGATCGCAAGCAGCCGACTATTTGCTTCGCTTCCAAGTAGACAGCATCTAAATCCTTCTATCCCCTGCTTATGGAATTTGCATGACGTGGCTATACTTCGACTGACTATTGATTCATGACTACTTCGGTGCAACACGTGCGTGATTGTGACTAAACGTCTTCTGCAGGACACTTATAATTTGTTGATATGATGAAACAACTCGTCAGTTCGACTGTCATCAACGACCTGGCTTCGACTGACTATTGATTCATGACTACTTCGGTGCAACAGACGCGTGATTGTGACTAAACGTCTTCTGCAGGACACTTATAATTTGTTGATATGATGAAACAACTCGTCAGTTCGACTGTCATGGGACAACGACCTGGACCCACCGGGTTAGAAGTGTCGTCCCCATTTGGATAGATTGACTTGGTTTTCAGAAGTGTCCATTTTTGTCTTTGGTTGCGGAAGGTTCCATGTTACTTTCGCAACAGGCTGAGCGGTTTTGTGGTAGAAAACCATATTTACTTTATTCTATACTGCATCTCAGCCTCCTCTGCACAAAGCCTGTTCTGAGAACCCGGGAAGATCCGGGCATTATGACAAACACAGTAATCCTCTAAGTAGACG